AAGAATGTGCATATTGTATACCATAGTGCTTTTTTTCTCTTGCGTTTTCGATATGTTTATTGCAAAATTACCCGCTAAACATAGTGAACAACACAAATGGAAAGTACTCTGAACATTAGGACTCCGTAAAATGACTTAAAATAGCGTCTCTATCAGTCCTGCTAGCTATTCTGTTACTGCGAATCATTTCTTTCTAGTTACCCTATCATAAAGAATTCCGAAATTAACGGCGCTTTAACGGTTTCGAACGCATGTAAACATCGTCGATTTTTACCTTGTCTGATTGGGCAGCCGTGAAACTCCGGTTGCATGCTGGAAAATCTTAGGCATACATGATTGTAAGCACAAGATTCCTTCGAATACTTGCAGTACAAATGATTTTTCTCAAAATATCTAGAAAATCGCCTGCTTCACCGAGCTGCGACAGTCTATGTCTTTCGATTTTTTCCGAAAACTTGTCTCTATCTCAAGTATTCAAAATATAAGGACAGGGAAACGATGGAGAGCTGACAGTGCTTGAGTTTTCTTCTGTTTGTTTTCGCTTATGTTATATCAGTTATTCATGTTTTCTGTGAATGTACTGATTGATATAAGCGAGATCTTTGTAAAAATAGCGTAACGAGTAGCAGTCAAATAAAATAAATGCATTGTCTTCGAGTCTGAGTGTAAGTATTCATATCAGCTCCACTCACACCCACAGTCTGAACAAAAGAAGATTGCTTTCGTGCTTCCGCGCAAAATACTGTGAGCATCAGTCAGGAAATCTAACCAATTCGAAGTCATTTTTCTACTCGATGATTTATAATTTCTGCTGTTTTTTCAATGATTGTGACTATATTATCATTGATATCCTTTATTTGTTTGATCTGATTCTTCGACACTGAGCTTTATTAATTTCTCGGGAAAAAAACTATCGATATCAAAAGAGAATTAAAAATAAACTGCTGTTAATACTATTGTGTCTGTTTTTATTTGCATAAAACTTGCATCCTTCATGAATTATGTAATGTTGAGATTGCAACAAAATGTTCGAACTTTCAAATTTGAATGACAGTATCAAAATTCAACGCTGAGTTCGATTAAGCAAGTACTGTTTCAAATATTTAGATAATGAATCAGCGAGTCGATTCCTGAATATGTATTGTGGAGTATATATGGCGACAGATTTTGATTCTCGTGCAATGACTCTTAAGATTTCAGGAAAAAAAGCTCCTCTGTTAGATATATGATCAATTGTAAGCGTCACAGTATTTTTCTCTCTTGAGTCGTATTGTTCATCGCTCCATGAGTGCAACCAAAATCGAAACATCGAGCTTCCGTTAATTTTTCGGCTCTCTTTCATCGAATAGAAGATTCGGTTCGATTGTTTTCATTCCAGCAATCATAAGCACTCACCCTAGCTTGTTTGTTTCTTCGTTGTTTCGTTTTATCAATAGAAAAGATGGTTACGAGAAGGCAAAAGCAAATGACGTTACACGTTGGATGTGGCGACGATTGTTGTAACAATCGAAAAAGTCCTTTCTATTCTCTTTTCCTTCTTCATATGCAGTACATGTAAAGACTGTTGTGTTTTATTTTCAGAAAGTGCCTTATTCTTTATAGTTCCAGGCAATTGATATCTTCGAACGATGGACCAAAGTACTGATGTTTTAAACAAAGTACGACAATTAATTACGGGTCCAAGCAAAGAAGCACAAAAGGAAGTCGCTAAAAGCTCCAACCAGAATTCAAGCGCAAAAGCGGATGCAGCTATGGATGCTGCGAGTAAGTATCAATATCATTTTATGAGTAGTGTCATATAACCAGAAGTTTGGAGATGAACCCACATCTCTCTGTGGAGATGCCGCATCTCCATATTCTGGGGTATGTGACACTGCTGGATTTTATGTACCACTGATGGGATCGCTTCGAAGACAATGGAAAGCTATTCTATATCTATCATTAATGTTAAATTATAAAAAAGGAGAAAATTATCTCCAGATATAGTTAAATATGTTCTTAGTACACATGACGCATAGTGTTTGAGATTTTGAGTATTAGTATAAATTTTTAAGGCATATTTTCAGTTCATAATCTCGACGATTTCTTTAGTTCTAGCATAATTGATAATATTATATTGACCTATGAACTGCGAATATCTTTTCAAAAGCATAATAAACAAGAGTAATGAAGCATTGTTTTAAAGAAATAAAAAAGAAAATATTTTATATTCGATGCCATTACTCATTTTCTGACATCGAATATATTTAAATGGAATGTTTTTTCAGTAAACTAGTCTCTTTTAAGGGATATTGAACGCAATATTTTGGTTAAGTACCAACTAAATCAAGGCTAGTGCATCAAGAAAAAATGAAAACATTGAGACTACACTTCTTTAACGATGAACTCTACAATAATTATTTATCATTTAATGAAATTAAAAAGATTACGCGTGCATCTGATTGGGCCGACTATTTTTGCATTATACTGTTGATATGTTTAAAAATAGTTTTGAAATCTGATTTTGTGTTGATTTCATGCAAAACATTTTGCTCTACAAAACTGTCGACTTTGTTTTTTAAATAAAACTTTCTCGTTCGCATAAAATGAAAACAATTAGCAGTGTCTCAAATGTTCAACTCCGACGATGAAAAATAATAAGCATAATGACAATTTTTCATAAAAATGTCGCTGATGTCACAACATCTTCCATTACTGTACTTTTAGACGCATACTTCAGAATTGGAGAAGACATATATGGGAAATAGATGTAATCAAGAACTGCGAAAACCTGAAGAATTTGATTTTTCCTAAACTTCTATTTTTCAACTGTCTTTTGAGACAGATAGTCTAGCTGTTTGTACTGTCAAAAATAAAAACTAGATCAACCTGCTAAAAAGTAACTTTTAATTTCGATACTATGACAATGAGTACTCCAAAAAGTACATTTAAGTGACGAGAATAATCTTCTAAAATGCATTCAAAGAGATCAACAGATATAAATATTATACTTATATCTATGAAATTATAAGAGTAAAAACGTTAGAATATTCATAGAAACAGAAAGCAGAGAATTCTTTCTATTGATGCAAAATACTTGATTTATAGCCTCAAACTTGATTAGCATAAGCCTACATAAGTCAATAAAAGTCTACGAAAACTGCGAGATCACAACTAGACGATTGACGAACTATTAACTATTTAAATTTGTATAAACAAGAATATTTGCTTTAAAGAAAAAACAAATTTTTAAAGCAACAAGTTCTGTATAGAGCCGGTTTAAAATAAGATTTTAAACTTATTTTTAAATGCATCTAAAGTAGAGTTTAAAAAACTGCTTCAATCTGATTCATCCATAACGTCACTGACGTATAAAAGATCCTTAATAGAGGCAATCTGACACTAATATGCTTTCTAAACTATAGTAAGTTTGAGCTTTTTTAGTTTAACGTGGTTTGGTTCGATTCAGTTCCAAAAAAAAACATGAACCAATCCCATCACTGTTATGTATGCCACATCAGATTATCATTTATATCCTAAAACAAAATCTTTTATACAATGAAACCGGCTTTTACAATAGCGCATATGTTCGTATGAGCAGTCCGTGACCTTAACAATATTCGACTCGGATCGGGTCGGATCAGATCGAATCTGGTTGCAGAATGCGGATCGATTTCGAACTTCGCAGAAGATCAGCTGCGATTTTCGATGAGATAAAGATTTCTATATTTCGAATATTGAGAGAATTGGTAGAGATCCACTACCAAGACTGTTAACAACTAAAAAACTTGCTTGGATTGGTCAAAAAGTATCTTTGAGCTTGGGTCGGGTCGTGTCTAGTTTTGTTCAACTCTGGTCAAGTCAAGCCACGAAAAATTGAGGGGAAGCGTCATGAGAAAGCTCAATTTTCCGAAGCACAATCGAAATTGAGTTTTTATCATAGGAAGATGCACCCACACCTCCTTTTTCAGAATATATATGGCTTTTCGGAAAACGTACATATTTTGACGAACTTATCGGTGGAAACTTGGGCCTACTATCATGTTTTATGACAAATTTTCACCTTGCTCCTCTTTTTTTGAGTCTTATAACCTTTTCTAGTAGGCATTTCAAATTTACTCTATAGAAGTAAAGTACAGGGTGGCCCATAAGTAACGCAACAGAAGTAAAAATTGAATATCTCCTGTACAGCTCAAGCAAAAAAGCTAATTTTTTCACCAGTGATAGAGACATGTATAAGCTATATATCCATAAAGACATGTCTAGAGGGAGACTCTTTGTTAAGTATCACTATTGACCTCAATAAGAAAAATTTACTTTTTGACAGTTCGAAAAAAAATCACTTTGCCGAAAAAAATTTAATAGCTCCACTGCGGCTCGAGCTAAAGAGCTGATTCTTTTATTAATTCAAGAGGCTTGTTCAAGCTTTATATTCATAAAGACATGCCTAGAGAGATCCTCTGTTGAATATATTGTTTTATATTCTATCTATGAAAAAATAAAATTATTTTGTTGAGGTCATTAGTGGTACTTTATAAAGACTCTCTCTAATCTTGTCCGTATGGATTTAAAGTGTCAACATGCCTCTATCATTNTCTCAATAAATTTTTATGAACCCAGTCACGTAAAAACATCAAATTGGAAGAAAAAGCATAAATTTTCAAGCTCCATTGACTGACGACATCAAAAATGAAGACAAAGGCGTGCGATAGGATAAAAAGTATGGGTTTCGAGCTAAATGGGACTTTCTCCACTGTTCACCCAAATATACCTGATGCTCACCAGTAAGCAGTCTATTGTAAGGAAAAATTCGATGCAAATATCTCAGTTTTAACATTCTGTCGATCATTAGTCTTGAAAGGAAAACATGAGTGGGGGTGTGGGTGTGATCGTGGGCGTTTATTTATTCTCAAGTCACACTCACACCCACACTCTGTGCAAGCTTCAAAGTTGACATCGAATGATTCCATAGATTGAAATGTGCATTTCAACCATGATTTGTTCTCAAGAGAAAAAAATCATTAACGAAAAAATAGTCGTTTCCAACTGTTGATCGACTCTCGGAATTGTTTCTTGTATAACGTCGATGGAAGAACAAATATGACAAATAGAAAAGCCGATGGAATAAATGAAATAAAATAGCCTGACAAATACAGCCAGGGATTTCGAGATACTTTCACACATCCTGAAAATAATGAGATTATAAGTCGAGGTAATGACAGAATGACTAACACAATGGAACTGACAATAAGTTGTTTGTGTTCATTGAATTGTGCAAGAAGGTGCTGTTCATAACTGTGACAAGTTTGAATTATCGCTTGCTGACGAGTCATGTTGAATATGATGAAAAGAGCAGAAAATAGATTAATCAAAAATGGAGCGATAAAATGAGAAAGTTGAATGGCTGTACTATATTTTTCGATCGATTGAGAATAACGAAATACACACCAAACACGTTGCTCCTCGTAATCATCGAACAAACCACGATAGACGAACTCGTGACTCAACGTACCCAAAATGAAAAATGGTAAAACCCGAAGTGTCCATCGTGCAATACATTTGCTCTGTTTCTTATTAAAATGAATTCCTTTAAAAACTGCTATCACTCGTTCAATGGCTACACAAGCGTTGAGCCAATTGCTCATATGTAAGAAAAATTTGAGGACTATCTCAAGGAATACACATCCTCCATGAAGAATACCACGATTAGTCGATTGATCAATATGTGTAAAGACCACGAACCAGAATTTCATTGTCAACAGACTAGCAACAAGACCCGAAACGACCGCTGATAGATGAAGATACATTCCAGAACCAACTTGGCGAGAATTCTTATGATGAAATACCAAATAAGAGAGAAGACTATTCAACAAGCCGGCTACTAATATGATCATAGTGAAAGCTGCACTCAATTTAATGACGATCGATTGTTCATTGAGGGCTAGATTAGGTCGAATTACATAACGCAACATATCATCCAATGTCAATCCAATACCTTTGGCATAAAATTGACAACGATCACCAAAGAAACAATCGGTACATACGCATAGAATACTGCGTGGACATGGCGGTCGATCTTGCAAACATATTCCACCGTTCTCACAATAAACATCGTCTGGACACACCATAGTCATATTAAAATCGAATAAAAAACAGTTGCTGTGACGTTCTACAGTGCATAGACACATGTAAGATTCATCGATAAAGCATTGTAAATCAACATTATTTTGACATGGAACATGATAACTTTTTAATCGATGAATCCGTGGCAGTGCAAGTAATTCAGAGCTGAACAGTTCCTGAAACGGAACACATCGTTGAGTAGCACCGACTGATGTCGATATGTTCTCTGATGCGATTTGTTGAAGAACAGCCAAATAATAACTAACATCGATCTTAAGAACAACCATATAAAATGAATAAAAAGGATAAAACGTTACAATGTACTGAAACATCTTCACTTTCTGAAGTATGACAAATGCCGGTACCGGTTGTCCATAATTAATGCCAGAATAGATATAGGCGACTAGATACGACGGGACGTCTATATTTTGAAAGAAAACTACTATTTTTGGTGTGATTTCTTCACATCTGATGCCGGTAAAAGCTTCAGGACAAATGCATACAAAGCTATCTTCAAGCATTCTATCATCAATAACAACGCATTGACCATTATTTTGACAAAAATTTATTGGACATAATTGTTTGAGCAGACAACGTGAACCAAACTTGCCGACAGGACAAACACAGATGGGTCGATTTTGAATTGGACCAACACAAATCGAATGCGAGGAACAACTGCTGCAATCGATCTGAATGTGGCATTGTGCGCCAGACCAACCGGAATAGCATCGACAAAAATATCGCTCTTCATTAAGATATTTCATACAAGTACCTTTGTAACATGGAAGAGGACAGTGACCAGAACGCAATGTTCGATGAGCTGGTAGAGTCAGAAAAATAGCCAATCGATTGACCGGCAAAAACGCAAATGGAATTTTTAAACGCCAACTCGCTAGATAGATCAATGAACTCTTATCGAATGCATCGATGCGGATGTTGTATTTCTTTGAATTGTTCTTCGGTCGAACCGAATACAAAAGATAAATATTGAATGGTCGACCGCATCTAGATATCGACTCTTGTGTCAATTGATGATATGAGTGAATTTCTTGTCGATTGTCGTCATCTTCGATTAAAGTAACAACAATCGCATAGATTCTTTGTTGCTGAACAAGTCCCATTGTGATAGTTAAACTGACACGCTGATTTTGATATTGACACCGATCGCCATAATAATTCGGTGGACAAAAACATATATCACTAGTATTTTCAGGTCCAAGCCAATGATAAACGTGGAGACCATAATTACAAATCACGGGTTTTACGAAATCATCAAATGAAGAATTTATGTATCGCTCATTCCATTGATTATTGACAGTACCAATTCGAATAGTTGATGATGGTGGATAAATTGATACAGTTTTTAATGAAAAAGTAGGCCTGTGTATAAAACCAATTCGACATAAGACATACTCTACATAGGTAACATTATCGAAGTTTGATTGTTCGCATAGTCGTGAACGATTTTCACAAATTTGTTCATCATCACCCAATAGGCAATCTTCAACACCATCACATAGTTTGTCGTGCTCGATACATCTTGTGTCATTCCGACAATAAAATCCGTAAGTGTGCTCATAACTATATTTCTGTCGGCAATATTCAAGTTCATCGGCTGCTCCGAGACAATCGACAATTCCATCACCAACTTGAATGGCTGGCAAACAAATCAATGTAGAGTTATATGGTGAAATACAGGTAAAAAAGCGTTCTTGACAAATTGAACGGGTACAGTTTTCTTCATCGTCTCCGTATGGACAACTCCAAAAACCATCACACCGGGTGTAGACATTGTTGCATGGCCACTCTTCACAATTAGTCTCATCCGAATGGTTTCGTCCATCGATGATAATCGGAGACACGTCGATGGCTCGGTCACAGATTTCATTAAATAGGATCTGATCGAAATCGTTCTGTCTTTCAATCCGGCATATGTTTCTTAGCAATGAAATCGATGGACAGTGAATATCATTTAGACATTGGAATCGATATGGATGATTCAACGAACAACTCCATTCAAATACTTGTTCATCATCGTTCAGAAAACAATCCGGTATACCGTCAAAGAGTCGATGTTTCGAAATGTATTTCGAAGAATTCTTGCACGCATACAACAATGAAGAATACGAACCAACATCGTGGTAATGTCGAGTGATGCAACCATGAAAATGAGGTTTGACTAAATCGATGATCGATTTCCAATCGCTCACCTTAATATCTGGTCCAAGTCCGATTTCATCACCATATCGACAAGTCAAATTTCCATGATGAAATGTAGGCGTGAGATAATCGCATAATTGTTCATCATAACAAACATAATCTGGTAAGAGAGCTAATTCGATACTGGTATTGCAATCCTGTTTCGGATGATATAAAAAGCGTACATGACCTAGGAGCACAGGAACAGTTGGAAATTGAATAAGATATTCACAAGTTTCTAGTCGAGGAAGAATTTGAGAAAGGTTAACGAACTGATCACATGATACTTCGTTGACGTGATCGATGATTTTACTGAGACAAATCATAGCTATCCAACAATCATATGATAGATTTCCTTGAACACTGAGTGATTGGGCCAACAGGAGATGCCGTCCATTGCGACATTTACCGAAATCTTCTACACATTGTCCATCGCCGCATGGAAACCGACCTTCATCGGGTCGACATGCATTCTCCGCACAGGCAAACATATTAACTTGGAGATACGTATCAGGACACTCAGGTGTTTCCAATAAATCCGATTTATCAAGGCATTCGGCCTCAAAGTATTCGTCATCCCAAAACCTTTTCGGAATGCATAATCCATTATGACATCGATATTCGTTTTCATTACATTCATTAATTTCTAACTCGAAACATTGGCTTTCATCAACACCATCATTGAAGCAATCAATTCGGCCATCACATATTTCACGCCAGTCGAGACACATTGATGGAGCACCGCGATCACATTCTAATAGATTGTAGCATGTCTGATGAGTGATAGCATCGGTCATGTGAGATTTTCGCTGAACATTTAATGTCGCTTCAGAGAAATTCGACACTAATTCTAATGAATATTGACAATAAGATCCGAACCATGGTGATGTACAATTGAAGAATTGTTTATTCAATCGATTAGATTTAGTCGGTTGATCAATATAATATTGATATCGTTCAGCAAGATCGATCGACGATGACCATAAAAGAATTTCATGTGAAGTGACGCTCAAACGATGTAATTCTTCGAAAGTGAAATTTGGATGATTTACATTGAAAAAATCGATCATCGTCGGATTATAATTGTCGGTTGGACGAATGCAATACTTTATTATACCAGGAATAGGTGAATTTATTGAAAAGTAATGCAAACAATCAAATTGAAAAGGATCTGTATCATACAAAATCGATTGCAATTTAGAAAATGCACGCAAAAAACATATTATATGCAGAAGATTCTGCATTATTTTGATATATGTTTAAGTACCTATTGACATTTGCATGATGACTTTTATAATGTTCATTCTACGTGTGATCTTTTCAGCATTACTTTTTTTCTTGTTAATAAGGCGTGACATACTGTAATGCAGATGACAAATAATCATTATTCTCTTAGAGTAGCATCGTGTTTGACACGGTGGAAAGGAAAATGATACCATGTTCATTCTATTCTTCTATCTTTTTATATGAGCCTAGTTTTTCCAGTCTTCTTTCTCTAGCTATAAGCTTAAAAATGATATCTTTCGATAGAATATCTCCTTAGTATGCAGAACAAAAAACATTGTCTGCAGACACAAAAACTTCATCCACTATTGTCGATTGTATGTATCAAAATTGAAATTTTAATTTTGATTGAACGAAATTAACTTTTTTTATGAGAAGAAAAAGGTAAAATTTCTGTAACAAGGGGTATAAATGTCGATGAGGGTGCTTGGTTTTGAAACATGTCGATGCAAGTAGATGTGAATGAGAACAAGGTCGTAACGGAATCATTTCCCCATTAATTTAGAATAAATTTAAATTATCCGAAATTTTAATTGAAAATAAACATTTTTTCAGAATTGAAATTTACAACTAAATCTAGATGATCATAATTTAGATTTAAAATAAATTCAACCTATGAAAATTTAAATTCATCTTTAAATTTAAATTACGCATAAATTACGTTGAAAGTAAATATAGAGAAAAAACCTCTGCAAGACTTCTATTGCACCCATACTTATCATTCCAAAAAATCATACTTGGTGATAATACGTCTTTTTCGCATTGCTCTTTTCGTATCATATATTGCTTCGTTGTTCCTTTTCTGAACGGAAACAACCGCTTCGGATTTTCACACTCTTGATTCACTCTAACAAAAGAGTTCTAAAATGAACTCAAATAAACAGAAAAGACATAATCGTTTCGATAGAAACTGAAATGAACTTAATGATGGAAATAAAATAATAGAATACAACAATCAAAATAATAATAGCAAACATACTCAGCAACAGTCATCATCTTCAACAGAAGAAACGCTTGCTACACCATCGAATTATAGACAACAAATGCAATTACTTGAAATTAACGATCAATTACGTATTATGAATAATCAATCACCATTATTAACAACAACAAATGATACTCCCACCTTAATGGAACAATCTGATAGTTCAAGAGAAGATAATCAATCATAATGTCCTCGTACAACTTAAACGTTAATGCAAAGACTTTCTATCCAAGATCAGTAGTAGCGATGATTGAAAGAGACAAAAAGCGACTAAGAAATTGTGATTTTCCGGAGAAGATGTCAAAGAAAATATTAAGATATTTGATGGAATGTTATTCTATGTCTCTAGACACAGTTTTGTTACATTGGGAAAATCATCAAATACATCCTAAAGAAATCAAGTCCTCATTGATCACAAATCCCCTAAAAATATGCCTGTATAATGTAGAAGGTTGGAAAAGTCGAAGATTAGAAGTTATAGATCTAATTCACTCAGAGGAAACCTCGATCTGCATTTGCACGGAAGTCGGTATCCAGAAGTCTAGCATTCAAATTCCAGATTATAATACGTTTTACAAAGCAGGGTTAAATCGTTCAGGTGGCGTTTGTATAGTAGTTGGAAAAAAATTGAAATCCGTTGAAATAGCAACCTCAATTCCTAACACTGTGGTGGTAGACATATATGGATTACGTGAATCACTCAGACTAATTGGAGTTTACTGACCTCCGAGTAAGAAGAGAAATTTAAATGAATTAGCGCCATTAGTTATTAAAAACACTTTAATAGCTGGAGATTTTAACGCCTCAACGATGGAATATGAAAGTTTTAAAGAAATGGCTGGAAGAAAATAGTCTGTTTTATATTAAAAATACGTCTAACTCGTCAAAACGCTCCAAAAGAAATATCGACCTTCTCTTTACAAATATAAGAGAGATGACGGGTGAAACTTTAAATTTCGGTACTAGTGATCATTAGCCTATCATATACACTATGAACGTCATCCAAAACCAGACACACTTTTGTTTCCCGCACATAAATTGGAATGAATTTGAATTTCTCTTATGGCTACTTCAAGATTTCTGGGTCAACTTGCAAATGATCAATCCCCTAGATGATTGGCATAGAAAGTATATTAAATTTATAGGAGCATTAAAAAATCGTGTAACAACATGGAAAACTAAAGAAAAGTTTAGATCAGCTCTACCGCAATTTATTTTGAATAAACTAAAAGAGCTGAGAAAAATAAGAAACCAATACTACAGGAAAAGAAGCTATGACGTCGATAGTGAAATAGAGAGTGTACTACTAAGAACACTGAATAGAGAAGCATAGTCTGATATAGCCAAGTACCGGTGCAATCGGTGGTCATGCTTCTTAGAAAAAATTCAGGAAAGTAAAAATAAAGGCGATACAGCCTTTTGGGCACATCTAGGTAAAATATATAAACTTAACTCACTTCCTTTTACCAAGTTCAAAGTAAATAATGAGATTATATCAGATAAAGAAAAAATTGCTCAAGAGCTATACAAGCATTGTACACAGCAATTCCAGCCCCTAACTATCGACAGAATGGGTTTACATGACTCAGAAATAGAAAGAGAATTCCAAGAAATTTTAAAAAGCTTCTCTAACTCAGCAGAAGAAGAACTGGCAAGCACTAAAGAAATATATAACTCAATACGATCCCTCAAATCTAAGAAATCAGCAGGGTATGATTTCATATCTAACTATATGCTAAAGAAGCTTCCACCCGGGTACATTCAATACCTATGCAATTACTTTAACCTTTGGTTAAAGGAATGCAGATTGCCAAATGAGTGAAAAGTAGCTAAGATTATCACGCTGAAGAAATTGAAAGTTGGCGTGCCTAAAAGTGATCAAACACGTCCGATATCGCTGCTAGCAACACATTCAAAAGTATTTGAAAAAATCCTGCTCACAAAAATACGGGGATGGGCTGAAACAAATTATATATTACCTAGTGAACAATCAGGATTTAGGCCAAACTGCCTAATACCAACCAGGATTATGTCGACATACCAAGAAGTACTCAATAACATGACTGCCAATACGCCGACTCTATGTATATATATCGACTACCAGAAAGCTTATGATAAAGTATGGCATGCCGCCTTATTAGTAAAACTACACCGTCTATGTATCCCAATACAGTTTTTGAAAATGATATGATCATGGATATCAGTGCGAAAAGCTTTCGTGCAGTATAGAGAAACTAAAACAAAAGAGTTCAACATTCCGATAGGGCTACCTCAAAAGAAGTAGTCTAGGTTCATATTTATTTATAGTATTCAACTCTGATCTCATTCAATCTACCGGAGCATTTTCGACCCACATCTTTGCATTTGACCTGAATGTTTTAATCAAACCTCCAATAGAGAAGAAAATAGAACCCATGTTACAGTTTCTTGAAAATGAAGGCATTAAAGTAAGCAATAATCTTTTTGAATACGCAAGAAAGTGGAAACAACCAATCAACATCTCCAAATCGGTCTATCAAATATTCCACACCCAAATGACTCTTTGTCCCCTCAAAGTATCTATGAACAGTCAACCTCTTGAATGCGTTGCGGATTGTAAATACCTCGGTTACACTTGGATTTGCAGGTTTTCCATGCGCAAATCTGTTGTAAATTGTCTAGAAAAGGTTCAACAATCATATGCGAAACTGAAGTGGTTCAAACGCTGCCGAGCAATCTCCACCAGTCTATTGAAACCATGCTTTTTTGCTTATTCTTTCCCCTTTTTTGCTTGACTTTTGTGTCTCTTTCCTCTCCTCCCTCGTACCCAACAAGAACTTCTGCGCCAGAAGTTTAGAGCAGGATTGAGATTAGTGCATCGATGCCCGTGTGTTACAGCTCAAGAGTTGCAATCTATTACAAATGAAAATGATTTAGATTTCTACGTTAAACAATACATAAAGAAAAAACTCTAAAAAATCTACAGATCATATCTTTAAAAATCATTATTCTTCGATGACTGTCCTATTGGATTAATTTTAAAAAAAGGAAAAAATGATGAACGAGGACACTTCGTCTAACTAAAACGAGTAAAAGAACTGAAAAAGAAACAAAAATCCCTACTAGGAATATGGTTACAATTTACTGAAAATTAAGAGCATGCATCATAACTATAAATTAATACGAAGTGTAGGATAAGCACACTGATCATCATATGAGTCGCTTCACCCCCTTTCCAACACCTACTCATCCATATCCCGCTAACAGTTCACGAACTTCACAAAGTTCTTAGTCGTTTTTTGTCTCCTCTTGATAATGTGTTCTGTACGTGGATATCAAAGCATCATGCTATCTACAATCCTGCTATTCCTATCACTTCCTCATTATTACACCTCTCCTATCCACTTTTGTCTTTTTCTATTTTCTTCTTGTCTCTCCCCTTTTTTTTTCCTTGTTATCCCCACTTCCCTTTATAACCTATCCCATTTGTAAGCGCTCCAGAGTGTCACAAATAAAACACATGCAGAATCAAAAAAAACTATACTCATAAAATATTTTATTAATCATTTTTTTGAAATAAAAAATTGTCTGTTTCAATTTTTTGTTTTTCTTTACCGTTTTGTTTTCGTCGAGTCAAAATTAAAATTTTAATTTTGACTACAACATTTATATACCAAATGGACCATAAAAATCCTGAAAGAACATGAGCATATGCTAGGATAGAAGTATTATGAAATTTTGAGTTTCTACTTTGCTCTGCTATGCTATACATGATAGCGTGTTGAAAGTGTTAGTATTCTTGAAAAGATAACCATATTGGTTTTGTACAGCAGCATGTATTGAAAAGTATTGCTTAGTCACTGCCCGATGTAGAGCCTGTCAGGTTCTGGTTTACAATTTTTTTATTAACTAGATCCAAGTTCAAAACTTGATCGATCTAGTCATCTGCGGAATATACTGAGTGTCATAGTCCCTGAAGGCAACCCATAAGAGAAAGGCATCTCATACCTTCGGAGTGACTATCCGATATCGATTAGAAAATGCTATTGCGAACATTACAATACGGTCCAACCTGGTGCGAATTAAGGTTTGACAAACAGTGAACCCGCTGGATTACAGTTCGATGAAAGAATTTGTTTACATATAAATGTAAGAGGTCAAATAGCTGAACAAATGATAGATCGTCAGAATATACAGGTATTAGAAAAAAAATCTCGATTTATTAAAATAATTATATATTTTACAAAAAAATTGAAGAGTAGCACCAAGAGAGTTTCTATTTCAGACGAGAGCATCAACATCGCTTGACATCGCCCAAACAATAGAGGCTACTTATGTAGCCATGAGCTCCAATGGGTAAATTGATGCGGTACCATTGAACATTTGTACTACCGTCTTTGTCGCTAACATAACAGTCACATGAATAGCTTCTACCGGGATTGGTATAGTTGACTATACTACAGGTCTTAGACGCACACTTACGAATAGGACCTGCTGCATGGCATTTAATTGTAGTGGCACTCTAATTATATTGAAAGAAGGATATTTTAAAAGTCAAAATATTTGATGAATTATACAAGTTTACCTGATATGTGGCCGAAATAATTAGTAGTATGATGAGACTTTGAACAAGAGGCAAGTACATGGTCGTTTTTGCTTTGTCTTGATTAAGACGACACGGATTTGTTCGTTTGTAATAAATGAAACATTCAAACTACTGTGAGCAGTCTTTTATATATGAGTGAAGAGATGAACTTCAGACTTGAATGAAGAAGCATCTGCGTTGTGAGATAAAGCGGTTACTAATATTTTTGCACATGAAGCGAATGAAAATAAAACAACGCAATTAACGTGGGTGTTTATCAGTGGTACTTGGAATGTGAAGTTCGTATGAATTGTTGATCATCTTCAAATGAAGACAAACAGCTTGTGAGCCATCTTTTCTTTTGTAAATGCTTTATCATCTCTTTTGCTGATCTATCGATAACTAACTCTTCATTGTCTTTGATAAAATTAGTTAACTATCAATGAACGAGCTTGTATTAATTCAATCAATAATTGTGTAAAGCTAGTGTAATTATCATCACTCTTGTTCTCAATTTATCTTTTGTTTTGCACATTATCATTTCTTAGCGAGTGAGATTTTTCGAACGTTATCTGCCAGAGAAGCGAGTAGGAGTTTTGTTTATTTATGTCTGGAGTTGAATCGCATAACTATAATCAGTACTATTCTTTGCAGTAGTTATCAAATTATAGAGTAATGCGACTTACATTGCTCAACTTTTTCATCAAATCGAGCCTCAACTCAAGCATCAATCACATGGACGGTGTCTCCATGAGTCTTAATACAATATCGAACAAGTCAGCTTATTCATTTGATTTTCCCTTGGTAGCAACATTGTGTATGAAATCCACAACAACAACAATAATAAACAGCCATGAAAATATCATTTCATGCCATCGTTGTTGAATCATAGACGAATAGAATGTGTTAGTTTTGTTGATGATGAATACACGAGAGCTGATTCGATGTACTCGATCATTTTCTTCGCTGCAAAGTCGACCTCGTCAATGTATGCTCAAATAAACTAGAGCAAAGCTTTCTCTAATCACATGAAAGACAGATCTGATATGTCGCTTGTTTCTCTAAGATTCTTCATTTCAACTGCATCAATAATATTATTGGATCATGTGGCGTTCTGTATTAAAGACTGATGCAAGGTCTATGAATCATATTTATGGGAATTCTTGTGTGGAAAAGAACTTTGATGTTTCATCTTGTGTATGAATCATGAAAATGAATGTGTCGCGAACGAGAAAGCTTTTTCATTGTAATGGGAAAAAGATGCATGATCTCATAACCCGTAGTTCTAAAGGTACTTCACTACAGCATTGCTCATTCTTGTTGCATTCTCAAAACCAAATTACATTTTAAATGAGCTAAAAATTTGGAAAATGCTTTTCTTCTTTATTAGTAAAGTGTACCATTGTATAATTAGTCATCATATATAATAGTCCGTATCAGAGATGGACACGGCCGAGTTTTTTAAAATTTAAACCGAACTGAAAAATAATATTTTTAATTCCATCAGAAACGACAAAAACTAACTCATTTTTTGGAATGAACTCATTCATCTAATTTCGAAGTATTATCGACAAAAATTTTGCTTCTATAATGAAAAATACGGTATCAGAAGGTTCTTTCATAAAAAAGGCATCTCGAAGGACCGATGTTTTACATATAATTGTGTGTGAGTATATTTAGGAGTAGTTGCTACGACTCTTCATTGAAAGTTAATCAAAATTCAACCTAAAATGATTTCTGCATATTTTAATCCAGATAATCCTTCAAATACTTTAAACCAGCAGATTACAGGATTTATTTTTTCAAAATTTATTGATAGACAAAAATGTTAGATAGAGGGTGACGCGTAACTCTTTAGGACGCTATCACTCCTTCAGTACAGTTAAAATATATTGTATGCAATCAATAAATAAATCCAGATAATTCTACTAACTTCGATAAATTCCCCAAAAAAATTGCCGCTGGTAGTATTTTGTAAAACGCTCCATTGTTGGTATAGAAATTCTTTTTTGTTAGAATAGGTTGTTGATTACTACGCTCGGAAGTGCTTAGATAGGGATAGGGAAGTATAGGTTAGAATCACAGCATATAAAAACATAAAGCAACAGGCGTAAAAACTCCATTGATATCACACTAGTCTGCAATATAACACTTTCTCGAGAGCGGACAACAAGAATAATAAAAGACAAAACTATGAAAAAAAGAGAAAAGAAAGAAGCACGGAAGTAGATAAGAAAGAAGAATAAAGACAGAAATGAAAAAAAAATGAAAATGGTAAATAAAACGATAACAAGAGACACATGGGAGACTTTAGGCAACAAATTCAACCCAATTAAGTAGTAGAGTTTCATATCTGTTTTTCAATTTTTGCACCCTTTCTATGTGAAACAAATACCCAAGGTTATGTGCTTCACCTTTGTTGAAATCATCCCAGAAAAATACATCACCATGGAAAAGAAATCCTGCTAGATGCGACTTCTGCACTTGCTTTAATCATTTTTCTACCTTTGAACGTGAAAATCCAGAGGATCTTCTTTTCTCGTAGAGAAAAAAAAATCTATGCTGATACGAAAAAGCAAAAAAGCCAGGCAAGATGCAGAAAAGTATAGACAACGATGAGGGTGACGAAAATTCTTACTTTCATAAACTGTCATTTTCGGCGTATCTACTTTTCGACCAAAGTTCAGAGAAGCATTTTGAACGAAATTCGTACTTCTCACATGGCACGAGTAGGTTATTTTATCCCCAATATGTTACTCTTTCCAGGATTATTTTTTCAAAGAAATTATTATGCGTAACAATAAGTGATATGAATCTTGTTTGATTACACCGTGGAATGCCTGATTTCATGTTATTAAGAGAGCATCCTTGAGTCCATCGAGCATTTTCCCAGAGGAGCATAACATGGTCAAATTTCAAATCCAACTCTAACTATGTTTATTCGATAGCCCATATTGAGAAACCTATACAGTAAAATTTTAGACCGAAAAAAGTTTTTTTTCGCCGAGATATAAGATTTTCAAAAAGAAATTTTTTTCAGTTTTCTAAAAAACCAGTCTGCTCGTTTTTTCTTTTTTTTTCAACCATTTCACTATCAATTTTTTTGAACTACGTTTCATTCGAAAGAGAAAAGAAAACTTAACAAGATGAGGTATTTTTATGTCCTGTACATGATATTTAGGATCCATAAAAAATTCAAAAACCCTTTTAGAAAAAACTGAGTTTTGAGGTTTTTGATAAAAATTGTGATGCGAAAGTTTTTGTCTCACAAATTTTATTAGCCTATCTTGTAGAGAATTCAATTCTCTACAAAATGCGCTATAGATTGCGTTTCTGAATGGCGGGCAAGTTCCTAAAAAAAGCTAAATACTGTGAGCACCCTCTGACGTCAAAAATTGAAAATTCCAAAAATTAAGTTTTTTCACTCTTTATTAATTCACATTAATGAAAATGCGATAAACGATGCTTAGAGCCATC